TTATGGACACCATCCTGGGATAATAGTTTTAACTATGTATAAAAAGAGAAATCCATAAGACTTCAAAGGGAAACCAATTATACTGAAATATGTTCTTAAAATATTAAAAATGTATGGTACAGTAATATTTGTGCTCTTTTATTAATGCAGTAAATGACAATATCAGCAGGAGAGCTGATAAATACTGAGATTTCAAAGCAATAATGAGCATAATGATATTTTGAGAAATTTGGAACAAGTCAGATTTGTAAGAAAATATTTGTGATTTCCAATAGTGATAAAGTCAAAAGTGCTAAAATACAATTGTGATTTGTTGCTTATATTCATAATGGAAGAAAACACAAAATTTCAGTGATTACTTGTTAAGTAGTCAAAATAAAATTATATTTTCCCATCCAAGTTCATGAACTACTCCATTTTTGGTTTCTCTCCTAAACATATGGAAAATGGCACTGTCTGCCTCTCCCAGGCCTCTTGTCATTATTGCCAGCGTCTGCGATTCAGCAATTGGTACCTTCTCTAATTTCAGGTGCGTGGAGCCAAGCCAACATGCGGGGCCTTCCCATAGTCCTTGATGGCCACCCTGGAAACTGAGTAGAAGGTAGTGTTCATACCCAGATTTCTGGCAGTGGTGGCTCTTAGTCTCAACTTTCTCCCGAGACTTGCCTCTGGCTTGTTAAACAACGCCTTGGACTTCCAAGAATTTCTGTGCAAATTTTGACAGCTGCCAGTCAAAGGCAAAACCCAAACCAGATACAGTAGGCTCTGCTGTCTTTCTGAAGGTCTGCCACCGCTTGGTCAAAGCCACCCTGGCTCCAAGCACTTCAATGATATGATGACTCATCTTATAATATTAAAGAAATAGGTGCTTATTTCATGGTGTTTCAATCCAACCGTGCATTGAGTTCACCGACTACCAAATTTTAACAAAAATAAATCCAGCAGAGTCACGCAGCCCCCGCTCACGTATGTGGGCAGAAGTAAGTGCCTCACGTGTTTCAGAGAAATCCGTCACACGCTGACACAGTTGATCTCAGCATTACCACCCGGAGAACAGATATCAAGCAAGACAAGCAACCGCAATCACAGGTGTCATCTGGGATGGGACGTTCACAGCTGTGGTGACAAGCTGTAAACTGTTCAGAGTTTCACCAAAGCCATTTGTTCCAACTATATTCCCAAGGATAGATTTACTTTGCAGAGCATAGAATAAACTGGAAGCAGTTACAAATACTCGCACACACCCCCATGACCAAGGAGGAATTCTTGTGAATGCTCTCAGTGTGATACCTTATCAAAACAGATTCTTTGGACAAGTTTTAAGACAAGAAAGCGCCTCTCCTTCAGTTGCTGCAGAGGAGAGGCGATCGTTCTTTTCTTTCTTTCCAAGACTAGGTTTTAATGGGCAAGCCTTGTATTTTCGAGGCGCACAACTCTGGAATTTCATCGGTTAACATGATAAGCTAGAAGCAGGCATTCGGAAACCAAATTTACGGAAAGTCATGTGGTAAGCAATGCTGGAATGTTCGTGAAGGCCGTGAAGTAAGGAGCAGAGAGCTTGCTTCCTGCACGGCCCAGTTCTGGGCGCTTGAAGCGTCCTGGTGTCACTGTGTCTGTGTCACACGCCCCGGAGGCGCTCCGGGAGCGTGGCCGATTCTCTCTTCCTGCGCCCACCCCGCGCCGAGGCGGCTGTTTTCCTACAGCTGCGCCGTTTCCTGGGTCTTTGGGGCCGGGGGGAGGTTCTTCTTTAGGGTCTAGGGAAGCACCTGGGCTGCTCCTGACTCTTGTAGAGAGAAAATAAATCCGCCCGCCGAACAAAAGGAAAGATCTTTCTCTTTCCTCATCGATTTGGAAGGGAGCCGGTGTGCTGGCTCCGTGGCTTAGCTGGTTAAAGCGCCTGTCTAGTAAACAGGAGATCCTGGGTTCGAATCCCAGCGGGGCCTTTTTGTGGCTTTTCGCCTTTCGACAGAGGGGATGGGTGATCAAAGTAAAATCTTAAGGGTAAATTTCTCCCACGGCGTTTCACAGTAATGTTTTACATGGATCTGGAGATGGTGGTTATTTACCAAAACAGGATACAAAGATGAGTTGTTCTTTTGAGGAAAATCTCCATCCTTCCTGTTCTCGTATTTTCGTGTCACATACTTTTTTTTTTTTTTTTTTTTTAAAGCAAGTACAAAAGGCACCAGAGAAAGCAGGAGGCACAGAGAGTCGCCCAAATTAAACCATATACAACATCATAATCTCGGACCGTTCTGCTTTCCCGAGAAAATCCCCAGTGGGTGCCCTCCCACAATCGGCAGGCAGCGTTTTCATTGGAGGAAGGAATGATTGATGATGTGCTTCTGGGAAGGCGGCAGCGCCCGCGTTCGAAGCAGCCACTGAAATCCCACCAGATAACACGATAATGCGTAAGGAGCTGTGCGTCTTGCGGCTTGTTCTGAGCTTATCCAGCTGTACACTGAAGACTGGTGGACTTTTCTGAGTGGATATTATACTGCAATAAATAGTTTTAAAAAGGAAAAAAGAAGTTGGGTAGTTTCTGTGTCTAGTAAACCAGGCAAAGAGGCTTCCCCCAGCAACTTCCAGAGACACACCTGGAAGGTTTCTGAAATCACAGCATCCTGACTCTGCCCCAGGCGACGAGGCCAGGCTTTGGCAAAGCATTTGGCAAGGTGACACTTTCAAAAGATTCAGAAGTGAAGCCAGGATCACCAAGATATCTTCCCCCCGCCTCCACACTGGCCCCTGGCGCCAGCTGCAAGGGTGCCTCCGGCTCATCAGATAAGGGCTTCCTGGGGCCTCAGGCCCAAGGGACAGAGCGGGGAAGGAAGGGCACAGACGCTTCCCAAGAATCTGTGCCAGCTCAGTGCTGCGCCTGGTGACCATCTTCCTTGAAGGGGAACAGGGAAGGGAGGTGATGAGGGCTGATGAAAATCTGTGACCCGGGTTTTCTTCCTGCTCTGGGGGAGAGCTCCCTGCACAGCCCCGTCTATCCTGGGTGAGGTTTCACAAACACATTTCTGGATACAGGTTACATGTCAAACCAGCAAAGAAACTGCCTGAGGTTCCCGAGTGTTTTTAAGAAAGTGTGGGCTTTGTTTTCCTTTGACTTTCTAAAAGCACAATTTGAACGCAAGTGTATAGTTTTAAAGCAGGAATAAATCGTGTTCCTTTCCCAGGGATGCAGCGTGGGTGGGTGGCAGGAGGCAGTGTGGGGTGAATGGCGTTTGAGGCAGGACAGGAGAGGACATCGGAGACCCGCGAGCCGTCCCTCTGGGCCGTGGAGCTGACCGGATGGCGTAGGGCCAGAGCTTCGGGGACGCCGGCTGAGCTGGTCCTCACCTGGGGCGAAGCCAGGGAAAGTGGGTGCCTCACTGAACAGCGAGGACCTTCAACAGGGGTTTCCAAAGGTCACCCAGTTTGTTTGCTTCCCAGTTACAAGGCATGGCCATTAAAAAGTTCCCACTCATTTCCTCCTCCTGGAAAAGTGCTGTTAAAATTCCAAGATGTGGCTTCACTCACCTGCACCAGGAGCTACCTTTTGAGGAGTAGAAATGGAGTTACCACCCACACAGGGGCTGGGGGTGGGCAGCCAGGGGCACTGGGCCCTTTTCGTAGGTGCCTGGGCCCTCACGGGACCACCGCCCCTGTGCTCCTGCCCAGGGGGCCCTCGGTCCTGGGCCCGGAGGGGTCTTGGCTAAATGGAACCGCACCGCTTGGCGAGCAGCATTCCCAGGCAGGTTCTTTCCCCTCTGTTTTTGTTTCAGTTCCACTTGTTGGAATAAAGAAAGGAAGGTGCAGGTGCTGCTTTCAGAAATGAGACAGACTTATTTATTAGGTTACGACCACGGGCGACATCTATCCTGAACGCTGGAGAACTACAATCGAAGTGGGACATGTGGGTCAGTTGGCGGCCCGTTGGCCAGACCAGCCACAGGTGTAAGGAGGAGGCGCACGCAGGCCAGGGCACTCCGCTGGCTGCGCGGCAGAGACACCGCATTCGGGGCACCGGGGAGAGGCGCGTGGGAGCAGGTTGCACGCACAGAGCGCAGGGCGTGCCGCATGGGGTTAGCTGGCGTTGGTGCTCATCGGAGGTGTGTTCGTGGAGGTAAACGGGACGTCGGGCTGAGGGCTGAGGGCGCGAGGCTGCTCAGTGGCTGGTGGCGGTTTCACTGAGGGGCAGTTCCTGGAAATGCCTCTGAAATGGAGAGTCTACATCGTCAGGAGGGAGAGAAGTGGAGGCTGTGGAGCCCACAAAGTGGGGGTGGAGTGATCCCCAGGCAGGGGCGCAGAGGGGGCGGGGCCTGAGAGGCAGCTCTGCCCACAGCTGTGCATTCAGTCTAAAGTCCCCTGCTCTGTCCAGCTGGTGCCCGACGCCCTGGCCTGCTCGGCGCTGCCCCGCCGCTGCCCCCGCAGCAGCAGCAGCAGCGGGACCGGTTTCCTCCGCCCTGCGCCCAGGCCCAGGAAATCCGAGACACAGGCCTAACGCTGTAGGGACTGGCCAGCGGCGCAGCGCTCACTGGCCTGGGGTCACCTTGCTTTCTTCCATCACAATGTCTCCTCCAGGTTTCTATATGGGATTTCAGCCTCAGTCTTATGTTCCCAAAACCCTTTGAGGTTTCGGCTTGCCTGTCCCTCTACATACCCCCCACCTGGACACCGAGATGTTTCTGTCATATTAACCCCATGACAACCTAGTCCCATCTTGGCCCCTGAGCTGTCTTTTGAGTTTGTTTTAATCCTTCCCCTTTGGGTTTGGCCTCAAGGGGCAGGAGAACAGAAGTATTGAAGAGTTACCTCTCTGGCCCCTGAACAGTGGTACAGAAACAGGTTTGGAAGGTCCCACACCCCGCCCTCTCTAGCAAGAGCAACACAACTTTCCTGACTACCGATCCCCATGCAACAGGAAGCAAGGGGGTTGGGGGAAGCCCGTGGCAGAAGCCCCGGGGGTGGAGGCAGAGAGGGCACAGAGGGAAACCGCGAAGCTGGGGCCGTCCTTAAGGTTCCGCTTGTCTGGGCTGGGTAGAGATTAGTTTAGAGTGAAGCATGTCTGTGTCCCCAGAGGCAGCATCCTCGCCCATCGGGGACCGTGGGATCCCCTTGGAGGGGTCCGTGGCATCAGCAACTACTGTGACCCCCTCCAGCCCACCGGTGAGCGGACAGATGGCCAGCGGCTTTTTGCCACAGGACCACAGGCAGAAGAAGGGTCGGAGAGGGCCAGAGAAAGAGACGCCAGAGAAAGTGTAGATAAGGGACCCGTCAATCATGTTGTAGAAGGCGACATCTCCGGATTCGTAGTCCAGGAAAATCCCGACCCGGCGGGGGGGTCCTGCCAGGGACAGGGGGGTCCGCAGCGGGGTGAGGGCCCAGTACCCATTGCCGTACAGCTCCACGGCCCAGAACCCATTCTCGGGAGTCATGGGGTCAAATCCCTTCTTCGTCACATCCTCCCTACACACGCCGATGGCCCAGTCGGTCCTGTCTCCCACCTCCACCTCCCAGTAATGCCTCCCCGAGGTGAAGGCCTCCCGACCCAACACGCAAGGCCAGGAGTCGAATCTCTCTGCTTTCTCAGGCAGCTCCTGGCGTGCGTCTCCCAGCCAGACTGACTTGAAACCCTCGTAGAGAAAGAGGTGGGGGTGGGCGGTGTCCGGATCCAGAGTCACGTCAACTAGACACGGAGAGGAAGTGGGTCTGAGTGCGCGTGGATGAGGGGCTGCATGACCCGTCCTTCCTTCTCCAAGGACAGGGCACGGTCATCAAGGAGTCGCCAGGCCCCCTCCAGGGGGGCCTTCTGGCCTGCTGGCCTTTTCCGTCCACAGTCCCTAAGGACCCTCGCCCTGTGCCAGGTGGAGCCTGTCTCCCAGCTGTCTCCCCAGGGCCCGCTATGCGCCTCAAGGAAAAGTCGAGGCCATTCGCCACCACCCCTCCCTCCCTCCCCTCATCACTAGAATGTGTGGGTGCTTCCCCTTCCCGTGTTGTAGGACTCTGGACCCCGGGGGCACGGCGCCGCGGGGCCCCAAGGGAGTCGTGAGCTACTGACCTGCGTGCAGGGCAGCGTTTCTCCACTCTGCAACGAGAGCGACAGGAGAGTCACGGACAGGTTTTATCCAAAAAGAGAGAAAATGTTGAGTGTGAAATAGTGTCAAGAAGACAGAACTTACTGAGCCCTTCCAGGAGTTTCTCTGGAAAACAAACAGAAATACCCAGTGACCTTCGGCAGTGGACACCGGAGGCCCGAGACAGTGTGAGGGACAACAAAGGAGGGACTGTGAATCATCACTGCCCGATCTCTGACGCAGGGTCAGGGAAGAAGAACACGGATGGTTCTTCTCCCAGGAAAGATGCAGGAAGTTCCTGCTGGCTCGGGCTCAGACCTTTCATCGTTTCTGGGAACAGGAGGCGAAAGCGGCACCAGGGCCTCCGGGCGAGGAGTGGCCGCGCAGCGGGCACGCCCGCTGCTGGAGCGCGGTCCGCCCCTGTGCCCCAGCCTCTGGTCTCCTCCAGAGTGCGCCTCCGTGGCTTCAGGGGCCTCAAAATCCGCTGGCTCTCAGAATGCTAGAGTCAGGAGCCTTCCGACGGCAGTTACCCTAAGGGGCCTGACTCCAGCCTCGCCCAGAGGCGCTCCGGACAGGGAGCCTGGGACTCCACGACTCACCTGTGGAGCTGAATTCGTTCTTCCTCTGTCTGCCTCTTTCCTTGTAGAGTCTCCAGGTGAAAAACAGGGACCCGGTGGTAAGGATTCCTAGCACCGTCAAGATGACAGCCACGGCCACCATCCAGGGAGTCGGTCTTGGGAAGAAGGGAGCTGAAACCAAGTCCCCCAAGAGGGCGTTTGTTGAGACACTTTGAGCAAGTCCAGCTTCTCTTCTGATTCCAAAGGGACTCGGAAGAGGGAGTCACCTGAACCTCTCCCTTCCATCTCAAGGAGAAAACAGTCCCCCCGTGCCTTCAGGTTCTTCAAAAAAATTTATGAGATCTTAGGTAGGAAAGAGCAGAGAAAGAGAGGAAGGAAGTTAAGCAGGAGTCACTTTGGGACAAAGCCCGTGAAATACAGAATAAAATGGACTGATTCATGTTGTGACGGAAGTCCCCCCTTAACGATCGATCGGTGGAGGATCTGAGCCAAGGGGATGAGGGAGGGGAACCAGGAAGGGGAAATGCCGCCTCGGCCACGAAGGCAGAGGACTCAGTGGCCAAGAGGGTGAGGGACAGTTCCTCCTGGCCCAGAGGTGGCCTGCGGGGATGATGAGGGGTCTGCTTCCCTGAGGACGGAGTCAGAGCCCTAGCCTGGGGTGGTGGGGGCGGGGCAGAAACACGCGACCTTAGTCTTCTTGGTCACTCAAGGAGGGAGTCTCCGGCTCAGGAAGGCCTCCCGGGACAGAGCTGCTCTACCTAAGATGCATCCCGTAAGGTGGAAACTCTGGAGCCTCGATGAGGTCTAGGCACACGGTTCATGCCTTCAGAACCTTTAGTCTCCGAGTGAGGTGGGGGGGCTCCCTCGAGCCAGGGGGCAGGATCTGAGGTGAAGAAGGCCGACCACTCTGCCCTGAGGTCACGCTGAGGTGCCCCAGGCGGCAGGCGCAAAAGCCGCGTCCAATTGGAACCCAGTGTGGGTTTCACTGACCTGGGATGGAGGTTTCTGCTTCCTTCTCCTGACCCAGAAGGACGTTCTGGATACAGCAGGACACGTTCCTTGTGGAGGCGTCCCTGACGATCACCGACGTCACCACAGAGAAGAGGCCTTCTTCATCGGGGTCCCTGGACTCCGACGCGGAGGGAAGGTCCCGTCCCTCGGCGGTCCTCCACCGCGCCTGGGGCTCTGGGAACCACCCCACTGAGGTGCACTCCAGCCGGGCCTCCCCGTTCCCTTGAACTTCCACGTGGATGTGCGGGTCAGAGCCCAGGGCTGCGGAGAGAGAAGCTGGTCTGGCGCCCTCACTGGCGCCCACCTGGGAGCCTTATAACCACAGGGCTATGTATTTTGAGAGCGAAGTGCACAAGGGGACAGGGAATGAGGGGGATTCCTCTCCATTTTTCATCACACAAGGAAACTGAGGCGTCAACGAGAAGAAGTTCATAACCTCATAGAGAGCGATGCCCGCTGGGGTTTGATGGTGGCCGTGTGGGGTTGGCGGGAAGACGCGGGGTGCTTGTCCCACCAGCAGAAACACCGGGACCAGTGGCGGGAGGTGGATAGGGGGGCTGGGCTGGGAGCTCGGGGCAGGGGGCCCTGTGGCTGAAGGCGCTATGAGAAGGCTGCGGGGAGGCAGCGGAGGCGGGCTGGTATTTCAGGATGAGGAGGGAAGGCGGATCCTTGAGGAGACAGAGCCGGCTGGAGGCCTGTGCACTGAGACCACAGCCCGCAATTTAAGGTTCCTTGAACCTGGGATACTGACTCAGAAGTTTTCTTAAATGGTTTCAACCTCATTTCCCTCAAACAATTACGCCTTCACATAAATCAACATCTGCTTTGTCTGGTCTCTTCAGCCTGATTATTCCCCTACGTTTCCACAGCGCACAGAAAAACGCCGAGCCACGAAGGAGGGCCGGTCGGTACACGTCCATCGCTGCTGGTTTAAACCCGTACCCCGAGTGTGTGTGTGCGTGAGAGAATGTGGACCTTTCTCACGAAGAGGGCTGCCACTGCCCGCAGACTTTCAAAGGTGCCTGCCACCCGTAAAAGGGGACAATGACAGTTTGATGCTATAGACTCTCTGGGGTTTTGTAATACACATTGAAGACAATTCTCTGCAAAGGAAACGTGAGTCCCAGGTGATGCTGCACGGGATGCAGCCTGCTAGGAGGCAGGGGCTCCGGTTTCGCCCCAGGGTTCCAACCTTTCTCTGCACTGGCGCGCGCGCCCAGGACGGGCAGCGCGCCGTGTATGGCACGCTTCAGAGCGGCCCGAGGGACAGCAATGGCATCGAACGAGCGCGGATGCTTTTAGAGTTGACAGTTCCTCGTCCGTTGCCTAATGTTGCTTCAGTCTTGCGCAGGCTTGCGGGGCAGCAGCTGCCAGTGTCTACCGCCGGCCACGTGGCTCGGGGAGCGCTTTGCTTGGTGCCCAGAGAGCGGGAAAGCCGGCCCTCGGCGCACGTCCCGCCTGACGGCTCACCGTGTCCCGGACCGTGTCCTCCTGAGTCGGGGCGCGGAGCGAGGAAAGGAAACGCGAGCGAACCTTTCCTGAGCGGCCAGCGCGCAGGCGCGCTTTCTGCTCTGGGGAATCAGGGAACACGACTCTGGGTACCGACCCCTAGAGCAGCTCCCGAGTGCGCCGGGGGTCGCTCCCCGCGCCTCTGCCGAGAGTGAAACAGGGGCGCGAGGTGGGCGTTCGGGTCTGGGGCTCCATCAGGCACACCCGGTGGGCCACCGGCGTCACAGGGCCGGTGCGTCTCGGACTTAATACAGTGAGAAAATGCTTATCCTAAAACCCAGAGGGAAAGGCAGGCCATGCATGAGGTAAATTTCTACAAGAAAGGCAACTCGATGGCCTCTCTTCACCCTTAGCCCCAACCCCTCCCCACTCACCTGCCCCTCCGCCCCCGGGGCCTGCCAAGCCTTCCCAGCCTGCCCGGGGTTTGGGGAACGCCCGAAAGTTTGCAAAGACATATCCGCAGCAAGACAGACCCCGCACGGGAGTCCCGCAGAGAGGCATCCGCTGTACTCACCGGCCACCTTCAGGCGCACGCTGGCCTCTCCGTGGCTGTCGTCCTGCCTGAAGAGGCACCGGTACTCCCCGTCGTCCGAGACCCGGACCCCGCGGAGCCTGAGGGCCAGGCCGTTCTGCACCGACGCGGCTCTGCCCCGGTAGTGGGCCGTCTGCTCCGCGTCCTGCGGGCGACCGGCCCGGAGCACCAGCACCGCGGGAGACTCCTGCTCCCGGAGCCACCGCAGCTCCGCGCCCGCTGCGCTCACATTCGCGTTCGGGGACAGCTGGCAGGGCAGCTCCACGTCGTCGCCGACCATGGCCAGGATCGGCTCCGGGCGCGCGGCCACGTCGAGGTGAGCTGTCGGAAACCAGGTGGGTCAGGCAGCAGGGGGCCCGGGGGCTGAGGAATGGGCAAGACCAGGCTCGTCTTTGCCGCTGTTCCTCTTAGTCCTGGGACAGCCCGACGGAGTCCACCTGGGGTCCAGGGGCAGCCTCCGGGGAGAGCCGAGTGGCCCTGCGGGCCAGAGACGGGGGTCGCACCTGCAGGCAGCCGCGGCAGCTGGAGGAGAAGGAGGGCGAGCAGCGCCCCGCTCAGACAGGCGCGGCGGAGAGCGGCCATCTCCCACCAATGCCGGAGTCTAGGGGACAAGGGACAGGAGGTGAGCCGGGCCCTCCGGACACTGCCCTCCCCGCTCCCCCGCCGGCCGGTGCCAGTCCTCGCATAGACGCCTCCCGCGCCGCCCCGCAGAGCGGACTCCCGGTTCCGCTGCCACCCGCCCGCCACCTGCCACCCGCCGTCCGGCCCGGCGCGCAAAGAGCAGCAAAACGGGCCTGAAATCCCGAGAAGACTTAGGGGGCGGGGGCGGCGAGACATAGCGCCCCTCAGTGCGCTGCATGAAATGAGAAAATCTTGGAACCACTGTGCTAAAAAAACAAAACAAAAAACAAAAACCCCTTTTCTTTCAAATACAGTAAATTGGCGTTTGCCTTCAGCAAAGACGATCAAGTGGCGGGGGCGGAGGTGGGGTCCGGAGAACGGAGTGGAAGAGAGCGAGGAAAGGCCGGGAGGACCGGGAGAGGAAGGAGCCGAGGGGAGCGCCGGGCTTGGGGCAGAGGGCCGGGCACTCGGGGGGACACGGGCGCAGGGGGAGGGAGCGCCCACGGCGGACAGGAGTCCCGGACGCGGACCCGGGGTCGCGGCGCGCGCGGGGAAAGGCCCGAGCAGCCGGGGCGCCCGAGTGCGAGGCTGGCAGCGGCCCGGGGCGAAGTTAAAACCCGCGGGAGGAGGAAGGGGTGGAGCGCTCAGGACCGCCCGCCGCGCCCCGTGGTTTTTGCTTCGGGAGAGAAGCCCGCGGCGCACAGAACGGCCTCTGCGCTCCGGCGCTGGGCAGGGCGCCTGGGACTGAAAGCTCCGGGATGCGCCGCGAGGCCTCGGCTCTTCTGTCTCCAAAATACTGCTCTTAACCACGGACTCAGAGGCTCTGGGGGGACCAAAAGAGGCCCGGCTTGCGGGGCTCACGGCGCACAGTGCGGGCTCGGAAGCCTGTTCCTCGGCCGCCGCGTGTGGGCGGAGAACCGAAGCGGGGCCGCGGGAACGGGCCTGCCATCCAGCTCCCGGGGCCCCCGAGCTGCCGTCCTGGGAGTCGGGAACGAGGCCTGCCGTTCCTTTGAGGCTAAACATCGTATTTTTACGAAAAAATTTAAAAATATAAAAATATTTTTTAAAAGGAGAACTCGCCCCATGTCAGCAAGTAATAACCTCTAGTACATTTTGGCCTATTTCCTCCCAGTCTCTATTTTATGCTCATGCACATTAAAAAAAAAAAAAAAGGAAAAAAAAACAGTTGATAAGGTTTTTGCATAATTCAAAACATGATGAATAGCCACTTGAGAGCATATTGTAGGATCTTACAGTTCCTAAGACTGTAGCACACGGTGGATATTTGCCTATTGTAAACAGTGCTCTTTACACGTATTCTTTGTCCACATTTTTGATAACTTCCTAATATGCTTTCTGACAACTTCCGAGAAATGCAGTCGCTGGGGCCCGGGGTCTGCGCACGTGGGCGCCTTCCGGAACCGCCGGACCGACCGCACCGTCCGCTCTCCCCGACCCGCGGCTGCTACTCCTGCTCCCCGCTGGCGGGGCGGGCGCAGAGCGGGTCACTGGGTCTGACTGCGCATTTACGGCGTCGCGAGGTGGGTCACTTTCCGTATTAAAAACGAAATCTATTTGGGAAGGGAGCTCTGCAGGCCGATCGCCGCCCGCTCCCCCCTCTATTATTCCTACACAGACTCCGCTGCTACCTCTTATGAATCTGTGTGAGCTTTTTATAGATTAAAGAAGTCTATTATATTTGGGACAAAGCCCTTCACAGACGCAGTTTGTTTTTGGCCTTCTAATTGGGACGATTTTAAGCCCCACCAGGGACCGACCAGCCGCCCGCCGGGAGAACGACTCGCCACAGCAAATCTGACCCTCCGTCTGCGCCAAAAAACCCTGCCCGTCCCTAGTGACAAGCACCGAGGTCGGGCCGTGATGTGGTCACGGAAACGCGGCAGCGCCTCGTGTCCGCCCGCGGACCCCCGCACACTGGAGGAGTCGGGTGGCGGTGCGGTCGTCTCCCCGCTCAGCACCCCCAGGCCTTGGACGGTTGTGTGTCCCCCGCTCCTGGTCGCGGGCTTCCCTGAACCGCGGGGCGCCATCGAGCCGCGAGGGCCCGGGCCGGGCTCACCGCCTCCGCCCCCCGGCCGCACCAGGCTCGGGCGCGGGGCTGCGAGCCACGCCCGGAGCCGCGCTGCGCGGCTCGTCCCCGACCTCAGAGCCCGCGGCTCTGTCCTGGGCACACGGTGCGCACCCTGCTGACACTCAGACAGGACCCAAAGACACGCTGACCGGGTAACACTGAGGTCACCCCCTCATTTCGAGCCCCTGTGCGTTTCTGTGCTCGGTGCGTCCAAGGCTGAGTCTGCGAAGGGCGGGCCGCGGAGGGAGGGGCCTGGGGACCCGGCTGGGGTTCGAGGCAGAGGGGGGACCGGGGGCGTGAAGGAGCTAAAGGGACCTGGGGTCCTGCCGCGGAGGGTCTTGGACCCTGTTCCTGGAAATGCTTTTGGAGAGGAGAGTCCCTCCCATAAACCGAAGGGGCAGAGGGGACTCAGAGTCGCCGATGTGTAAGGGGGGACTGAGCCAGGAGCAGCCGGAGGAGGCAGGGAGGCGCGGGGAGGCTGAGGCCCCTCCATGGGCAGCACAAGTGGCCTCTCTGTCCCTCCAACTGCTGAGCAGCGTCGCAGGCAGATGTAGGTTAATTCACTGCCACCGAGTGTTGTCACAAAATTCCTGTAAAGAAAAGGCTGTTGCCACCGGGTGAGCTCTGATCGGGTCAAATAGAGACCAGGGTCGACGTGAGGGCTCCCGGGGAGGCAACAGAGGGACGAACAGTCCCAACCCCCTGGATGCGGGTTTTATAATGGGAAGGGGCAGAGGGTGCCAGAAAAGGAAGAAGGAAATTCTCACAGAGCACATTGCCCAACCAGAAAATGAAACCAGAATTATCTATAGATCTGGACTTTGGCTTTTTTTACGTTGCTTCTCGCTCTCTTTCATTCTCAAGACTCCAGTGTGGCCGGTGAAAAAGGCTCTGGAACAAATCAGTGACCCACAGCGACCTTCCCGGGGCGATCTGACCACAACCCCCACTGGGCAGGTCCTGGCGGGGTCACGGCCAGGCCGACCCTTCCTCAGTGAAAGGTCTTCTGCACCTTCCGCAAACCCCGGCCGCTGTCCGCGGGCACCCAGAGGAACGGCCGTTGGCGAGGCCGGGCGGGTCCTCTCCCTCAGACCCGCGGGGACCGACCGCCCTGCAGGAGCCGGGCCTCGTTTCCTCTGCTTTCTCCGCCGGCACGTCGGCCTCCCGCCCCCTCGTTCCCGAGGCAGAAGAAGCCGCAGCCGGTCCTTCTGCCGAGCATTTCCGGTCCTGCTCCTCACAGCGTCGTCAGTTTGGCTCCAATGAACTCTCATTAAAAATATCTACAGGTTTCCACATTCTTACACCAACGGATATAAGAATCCAGGCTTTTGAAGCCAAACATAAAGTTTGAAAAACAGGGCAATCAAACAATGCCCACACCTCACTACCATTTATTTTGTTTTACAAACAAGGTATCTTTCACAAAACATGTTATTTATATTAGCGTGTAATTTTATAACTGTCATTTAAATATATACTGAAAAACATCTTAAAGCTTTTTCAGTTACATATAGTAAATATTGTCAGATATAAGCAAAATGAGAAAAAGCACTTTGGGATGCTCAATAACCTAAAAGTTTTCGGTGCCTCCTGGGAGCAAGAGGCCGGACGCCGCCGGCCCCCGCGCTGGCCCCGGCCGTGCACGGACGCGTCCCCTGCTCACCCGCTCAGCCAGGGCCTCCCCCCGGGGCCGCCCTCACCGACCGAGGGGGTTACTGCAGGGACGCCTGAGCCAGGCCGGGCGCGGGTGACCTCGTATGTCGTGCCCCTGTCCCTGTCCCTGAGCCTTGATGCCGGGAGCTCTGCCGTGAGGGTGGGAACCGGGGGGAGGGCGGGAGGAGCCCCCTGGGCGGGCCCCTGGCGGTCACGGTGGGGCCACCACGCCACCAGCCGGGGCCTCGTGCTCTCGGGCCCGGCCTCCACCTGCGGCCTCCAGCCGTGGCCCCTCACCCCCGGGCCCTGCCGCACCCTGTCGTCCTCGCCCTCGGGCCACCGTGTCTGGTGTCCCTTCGGGTCCGCGCCGGCAGGTCGCCCTGAGTCACAGCAGCAGGCGGCCGCCCCGTCGCTGTCTCGCGCTTTCTTCTTGGCTGGGGCCTCGCGGCCGCTCTCGTTCCCTGAGACTGGCCCCGGCCCCTTGAGGACCAGCTCCCGAGTCACTAGAGCAGCCGCCTGAGGGGCGGGGACGGGAGGGGGTCCCCGGGCCTGTGGGGGACGTTCCCTGCTGTGCCCAGAGGGCGGCGCCGTGTCCTCGGGGCGCTGTGCTGAGCGAGCCGGGAGGCCAGGGCTCGCCTACTGGGCTCGGGGACGAGGGAGCGGGTGCTGGTGGCTGCGGCGGGTCCCGGCCCCGTGAAGGACCAGGCCACCCTCAGGCACGGGGACCCCCTGGGCCCCTCTGAACGCTGGGCAGAGGAAGAGGGGGCTGTCGTCAGACCCCAACCTGAGGAAGGGCCTCAGGGGCCCAGTGAAGAGCGAACGGGGACACGTGTGGATGTGCGATCGGTCCCTCATGTTATAGAAGGAGACGTCTCCAGACTCGTCGTCCAGGAAGACGGCCGCCCGGCGAAGGCGCTCCTTCAGGGGAAGGATCTTCTCGGGAGAGGACAGGACCGGGTACTGGTTCCCAAACAGCTCCAGGGTCCAGAAGCCATTCTGCGGCACCAGCAGGGCCTCCCCTTTCCCAGCCACACCGTCTCCGCAGACCCCCACGGCCCATGTTGTTAAGTTTAAATTTTGGGGGTGGTCAACTCTGTGTGCTTGATCTCTGGTCCCATAGGATGAACTTATGTTCTAAGAAGGATGGGAAGGAAGTGAGTTGTTTATCAAAAGCCACAGGCATCCGCTGTGGGGAGAGTTGGGGCCTAGGCCTGGCGGGATATCGGCAGTGAGCTGACCCCTCATGTTCCCAGCCTGGGGTGTCTCAGCTGCTTCTGACACAACAGGAGGGCAGCTGGGGTCCGTCACTGCAGGAGACTGAGCTCTGCCCACAGTCAGAATCAGCAACACAGACTGGTCCCTGGATCCTCCAGGAAGGAACCCAGGCTGTGGACACATTGATTTCAGCCCAGGGAGAGCCATGCTGGATCTGAACTACAGAAATATGAGATAACAAATTTGGGTTGTATTAGATTGTGGAACTCGGGGTTATTTCTTAAAATGCAGTAGAAACCAATTCAGTAAGGATTTCGTGAGAATGTCCCAAGGAGTAAACTGTGACTCTGGTGGGTTAACTGTGGGGGCTCCAATCTGGAGGCAGCTCCACGGACGCATGGAGATTACTGACAAATTTATTTAACAAATGAGACATCACACGCCCATGCGGGCGGAGGGGACACATGGTGAACAGTCACAGCGACGACGATGAACAGCGGCCTGTCCCCAGGACCCACAGGGAACAGGAACCGTCATGGGTGCTCCGCGGTGGGTGTCCCTTCCCTGACTCGGAACCCACCGTGGGAGGAAGTTCCCCGGACGTCCCCCTGCCTCCCTCCCTCCCAGAGTCCTGCTCCCAGAGGCCCTTCAGGGGTGACGTGGGAGGGCGGGGGCTGCTCTGTGCGCACAGGTCCCAGCTGGTTTGGAGAGTGGCCGCTGGTCCGTCCTCGGCCCTGGGAGGCGCGGTCGCTGTGATTCACCCTCTGCACCACGTCGCCCTGCGGAGCCCGTCAGTGAAGCGGGGACCACGGCCCTGACAGGTGACCCCGAGGATGCGCGTGGGGGCGGCCTTCACCGTCGCCCGCGGTGGCCTTCACCCCTGGAGCCCTGGGAAGGGAACCCAGGGGGCCCATGACCCTGCCCGACAGGAACAACCGGCTGCCAAGGGGCAGAGGGAGGGGCAGAGGGCGAGCCTCTCCCAGCCGCACGGAATCCGTGGGCCTCGCAGACGGCAAGGACCGGGGCCCTGCCTCGGTCTCCACACTTTCTAAACGAGGCTGCCTCTTGGGGACGTCGTGAGGGACAGTGAGTGACAGTCCCCTGCGGCAGTCAACGCGGCCCCAGGTACATTTGAATTTATCTATAAACGTCCGCTATGGTCGTTCAAAGCAGCCGAATCACATTTCAAAAGTGAATTCCCTTCCTGCACCCTCATCTCCTTATCGCCATGTGGAAAAACTGAATGAATACAGGTGAAGTGCTTCACTCAGTGTGTTTTTAGAAAGCATTTTCTTGCTGGGACGTTTTGCTGTTCAGCAGGCCCTCTGCTCCAGGCTGGGCAGCGAGAAGCAAAGATGTTATTTCCGCCTGAGGGTCCCCATTCCCATCAGCCGAGCCCAGGGACCTGGGGTCTCCGGGGAAGGGTCAGGCCCTGGGACAGGGGTGTCCCCACTGCTCTCTGCGCTGGGCAGATGGTCAGGGGGTGCCCTCAGCTGTACCTGGAAAACAGGCCTCAGAGGCCCAGAGAAGGGGGTGTGCGGGAAGGTGAAGATGTGTGACCCGTCGAGGGCGTTGTAGAATGACACCTGCCCCGCCTCATAGTCCAGGAAAACGCCCACTCTCTTGGGACAGCAGACAACTGGTAGTTTGCTCCGGGGGTATGTGAGAGCCCGGTAGTAATTCCCACGATATCTCCCCACTGTCCCAGAACCCGTTCTCGGGGGTACATTTTAACCCGGTCTTCTGCTCCACGTTGTCCTGTGTACACACCCCCACAGCCACTTTTTTCTTTCCCCAACCTCCACCTCCCAGAAATGTCTCCCTGACGTGAAGCTCTCAGAGCCTAGCACACAATATTGCCTTTCAAACCTCTGAGGGTAGTCTTGTTGGCTCTGCCTTTTCTCTGCCCGCTGCAGGCTCCTCTTGTCCTCAGAAACAAGGAGTGTGGGGTGCGCAGTGTCTGGATCCAGAAACACGTCCGCTGCCAGGGGTGTCGGGGAGGGGGTCAGATGGTCCCCAGGCCTCAGAGCCTTGCCTTCGGGGGACTGGGCAGCACCTCCAGCCTGGGGTCCTGTCCTGCCCTGGATGGGACCCTCGGCCAGGCCAGAAGAAACTGCGGGGCCCTGAGGCGCAGGGTGAGGAGGGGGGTCGCCCATGTCTGATGCTCCATGAGTGCCCCAAGGTGGCAGCTATTCCTGAGGGATGATCTTTTTTCCTTGCCTCTCTGTCCAAGACACCAGTATGTCAGGCTGGTTTGGACGGAGACCCTTGTTTGGGTGGTGAGAATGGCTGGTCAGGCCCAGGCCGGGCTCAGAGGAAGTGTCTGCTGTGTCAGTTGTCCCTCCTGTGCTGGGGCCGCTGGGCTCCCTCTGGGGTCCCCCCACCTGTCCCCGCCCTCCGGCCCCAGGGTCGGTCGCCGGGGACAGCATCCCTGGGCCCCGGGCCCCTGGTGACTGCGGGGTGGGGCCTGGAAGCTTCAGTGGAGCAGCAGGTGGGCGCACCTTTGAGATCAGGATCTCAGGTACCCCCCCAGAACTGTCCCAGTGAAGAGCTCGGAGAGGAAAGAGGGGGCAGGGGCCCTCGGGCTGTCCTGGGGACACAGAGAGACCCACTCACCAGGCTGGAAGAGGGCCGTCTTCCACTCTGGAAGGAAGGGGACACAGGCAAGGGAAAAGGTCATTATTTCTGTCTACCCACCCCTCATCCTCACTGAGCCTCTCCCCCCTCCTGTCCTCCGTCCCCTCCCCCATCCCGGTCCCTCGTCTCCAGCCCTGCGGGTCAGGCTGAAACCTCTCCCAGCCCTGGGCTTCCCCCGCCCCTGTCACGCTGGTGCCATGGGTCACATGACCGGGCTTTGCCCGGGGGAGGGCGTGGGTGTCAGCAGGGGAGGGGACGCTGCACCTGGAAGGTCCCCTCTGAGTGTCCAGAAAGGCGGGGGTGGCTCACCCACAGACCAGGAGCCCCTGAGCTGGAGGTGACCCTTCCTCCCCCAGCAGAGACGGGGGTCAACGCTCCCCACACCGGAGCCAGGGGACCAGCGTCAGACTCACTCACCTGCGTAGGCCTGAGACTGCACCCCACCTGCAACGGAGACAGAGCGTCACCTGGACGGTCACTTCTGAGTCAGTTCCTCCCCCCTTTTTGCACCATGTGACCATTCCATGGGCCCCCCCACCCCTCCCACCTCTCCCTCTGCCTGTTCCCTCCTGGACCCCCCACCCCCTTCCATCTGCTGCCGCTCAGGGACCCGCCGGCACCCTGCATGGGCCGTCCCCGCTGTCACCCGCTCATCTGCTCTGTAGGAGTCTGTGCATCAGTCACCACTTTCCCCAGTTTTTCCTTCCAAAGTTTCAGTTACACTCTGTCAACCGTGCTCGTAAAATGTTAAATTCAAAATCCCTGAAATAAATACTTCGCAAGTTTTAAACTGCACATTATTCTGAGTAGCGCCATGAGATCTTGTGCCATCCTCCTCCAACCGGCCCCCTCAAGAGTCCTCCCTCAGTCCAGCACGCCCCACCCCTGGCCTCCCCCCGTGGTCACTGAGGAGCGTCTCTGTGACAGGTGGACAGTCGCAGCGTCACAGCGCTGGTGGTCAAGTCTCCCTTGTTTTACTTAATAATGGTCTCAAGGTGCGAAACCAGTGAGGCTGCAATGCTGCTGAGCCAACGAGAAGTCTTCTTTAGGTAAAAAGGAAACACCTTGTATATTGAGGGTTTGGAACTGTCCGTGGTCTGGCAGCCACTGGGGGACTTGGACAGCGCCCCCTCGGATAAGGGGCCACCAGCTTACCCCAGGGTCTGGCTGGACCTGGGCACATGCTCGCCCTGTGCTCACGTGTGTGTACCTGTGAGCGGGAACCCATCCCCCTCCATCCGTATTATTTCCTGCTTAATTCAAAAAACATAATGGGCAACATAATAAAAAATTTCAGATGTGTTCAGTTTTTAGCTGTTAGGATACATCTGTCACAACTTACCTTGGCCACTCCCCTTTTTAAGGTAAGGGGACGCTTTGCCTACCGGCCGTGCGGTTTATTAATTTTTTCTTTTCTCTCCTACAGCTTTTTTTTCAGAGGACTACAGATTTTGTGAACCAACGAGGGCGGGAAGGATTCACACGCTGAGTCCTGTGCTTGCCCCCTCTCCTTCCCGGGGCTCCCCGTGCGAGCGCCCCCTGGTGGAGAGAGGCCGCAGCCCCTTCCCCACCGAGAGAGACCAGTATCTGGTCACCCGTTAGCGTCCTCCCTTCTTCCCCTGGGTGCTTAGGGGCCAGGGAAGGAGATGCAGTATCTGCGGGTCCGGGGCACTACTGTGGTTGGGACCGGGTTATTGTCCACTCTGCAGGGAAGAACTAGAGGAGTTGGTGACGTCTGTCACCAGGGACCCCAAGACAGGCGGGGCTGAAATCTACACTTACAGAGTTCGTCCCGCAGTCTCTCTGAAAAAAAAGCAGGGGAAAAAAAAAGTCCTGACAAGGGGATCGAGGGGAGGACCCACACTGAGGGGCACGGCGGGGCGCGGGCTCGATGCGGAGGTGGCGCCCTCCTGCAGCGGGGCCTCACCTTTGGCGCCTCGCTCCCGCTGCGTCTCCGCCTCAGCGGCTTCTTTCTGCTGGCTCTCGCTCCTTCTCCTGGGACAACGCTTGTTCTTTTTCCGCCGTTGCCACAGCAAGACCGTCCCCGCCAGGAGAACGGACAGGGCCCCCACCAGGGCCACGGGCCAGAGCTGCGCGTTCTGGAAGAGGCCTGCGAAGGGTGAGCCCCAGAGCTCGGGGCCGCGGGGCATCTCTGGAGGGAAAGTGATGCTTCTCTCCCCAAAGTGCCCAGGCCTCTTAATGTCACATAATAAGCACCGTTTCTTGAAATGTCTGCCCCTCACATGGGAGAGGTTCGAATATCAAAAAATATTTACAAAGTTATTAAAATGTCCTCTCTACTCCCTCTGTCCCCGTTTTTTAGCTTCTCCTGAGTCAGCTTGATACGGTGATTAAGAGGTTGATTTGGGGCTGCGGGGCCTGGGCTCCCATTCCTGACCTTCTGCCTGGCCAGCTCTGTGACCTTGAACTAATGACATGACCACGCGCTCCCGGAGTCCTGATCGGTAAGGGGGATAAATTAACGCTTATAAAGTGCCTGACACACAGTGTGCCGTGCAAGAGTTTATTAGTTTTAAAAAAATATATATTCTGCTATATTTTTCTTCACACCAAAGCCAGCGCTCTATGCAAGCTGATCCATGTGTTCTTCTCTCCGCTCACCCTGTGTCTTGGGGACCTTCCCCCGTCGGCACTGGGGGCAGGTCTGGGACCCTCTCACAGGGCAGCGCCCCCCCTCCACACTCCCATGGGGGCACCTGCACAGACTTGGACCCTCTGTTATTATAATTAATGTCAGAGGAAAAAGCCCTTTACAAGGGTCATTATACAACAATACAAACCAAACTGTCAGAAAGGTTCCCAGATGTGGGATTTTGCATCAATATGGGGTGTGGATAAACACTGCTCTAGTGCCACCAATGGAAACTGTGCCAATTGACACCCAAGATGTGCCAAATTCTAGGGACAAACGTTTAAGGGCGACTGTCTGCCCAGAATCCCGCCATCACTGCAGGTAACAGCCACCTCATTTTTTGTTTTGTTGCCAGCCTCACAAGTGAAAAACCTTTCCCTGCTCAGTGAGATTGGACATCCTTTTGACAGTAATTTCCTTTTCTGTAAACTGATCATTCTTGTTTTTGCTCATTTTCCTAGAGGGTTGTTTTATTCTTCTAAGGAGAGCAGTCCTTTCTCTTAAGATTAGGGTTGTACATATTATTTCTCTTTTGGGATGTCTTTGCTGACCTTGACCCCTGTCCCCCAGTCCCCACGGCCTGGCACCGCCTGGGGCAGCAGGAAATGCTCAGAAGGCGTCTGTGACAGAAACGGCTTTACGGGGAAGGGCACCAGGTCCCTGCTCTGTGCCTTAGAGATGCAGGACCCTCCCTTTCCCCACGCCCCAGACGTGCTAGGTCCTGGAACAGCCCCCCACCCACCCTGCACAGGAGAGGAGGTGGTTCCCCCTTATCGACAGGATGTCTCACCCCAGAGCCCCGTCCACCCTGCCTGCCCTGTGCAAGCCTTTGCCTGCCGGGTGGGGGAAGATATGCTCCTTGTCTTGCCTCCGTCCATGCTGTGTGTTATGTAAGTCCCCTCCGGAAAATCTGATGCAATTTTGTTGGAGTTATCAGCCTCTTTTTCAGGTCCCTCGACCATGGGAAGTTTCTATCACATGGTTGTTTAGAGGAGAAAACTTTCCCACAGAAGACAGATGACCCAGAGCTAGGAACAGTGGACTTTTTTTTACCACCTGACACTAAGTTCCTAAAAACAAGGGGGGACAGGAGGAAGCCTCTTGAAGACCGGAAAGGACAGGCTCCTGTAGGGAGGGCTTTGTTAAGAGGAGCCACGGTCTCCAGGAAGGGACAGAGTCTGGCTGAGGAGGCCCTGCGGGGACAAGCAACGACCCCCACCTTCCACCCCCTGCCGGGCTCCCCAGGGAACAACCAGCCAGCAGCCCCCGGGCAGGGCTGTGTCCAGAGGGAGTGAGCGCAGCTCCAGCCCCTGCCCGTGAGCACCGTCCTGGAGCAGCGGCCTCGGACTCGGGGGCGCTTTGTCGCTGGGACGGGTCAGGACAAAGCCAGGGCCTCGCAGCAGCCGGGTCCGCGCACAGAGGGACGCGGACTGTGTGCAGACACAGCAGGGACCGCCCTCCCTGACCTGCCTGAGGGTGACCAGCGACACCCGCACCAGCCTGACAGCACCCGATCCGGAGCAGAGCCCTGCTCCCATGTCCCCCCGAGTCCCCGACAGCCCAGAGGTCACACCACGTCCTCCCTGACACCCTCTCGCTGGAACGCCCACGGTCTCCTCACGAGCGCGACCCCCGTCACGGCCACAAGGACACGCCCAGCTTGTGCACCCGCACGTGTGTTCCTGGGCCTGTGGTTGGGGGACAAGGACACCACAGGGGTCGTCCCCGCAGCTCAGCCTCTGGGACCCACAGCAGCCGGCACCTGGGGACCCACGGCCACCGTCTGGAACGTGCTGAACCCACACACCCGTGTGCCCCCCACTGCGGGGAGGTGCCCTCCTCCTTCCCGTCCCCACCTCCCTGCTGAGCCCTGGGGGGCGGCAGGAGGGGCTTCTGTACTGGATGCAGACGGGGCGCTTCCTGGGGGACATCCTGGGCCTGTCAGGGGCCTCCGAGAGCAGCGTTGGAGGTCGGGGAGGGGGCAGTTGCTGGTGAGGAGCTGCACCTGCTCTCAGGTGGGCTTGGAGCTGCTCCCCCTGCCCCACGGAATAGAGCTCAGAGCAAACCTGAGGCTCACCTGCCACCTGCAGCTCCACCTGGGCATTTTCAAAGAAATCGCCATCTTGGAAATAACACAGGTAGGTTCCATTGTCAGAGGCTCTGACCTCGCGAATCCGGAGAACAGCCTTCCCCGCGGTGATGTTCTCTCTCAGCATCGAAGTCCTCCCTTGATACTCTGCGGCCGGCGTGTCTTCCTGCCCACCGACATACGTGTGCACCACCTGCTCGGGGCTGGGTCGCATCCATATCAAATCCATGGTCTCCGCGCTCATCCTCGGGGACAGGTGACAGGGCAGCTCGGCGTCCTCACCCACCTTGACCAGGATGGGCTCAGGGGGTCCAACCACAGCAAACTGAGCTGGTCATCAGAAGTGGGGGGCTCCGTCAGAGGAGCTGGGGCCAGAGGGTCATGGGGTGTCCGAGGCAGGGAGGGCCAGGGGAGAGACCCCTGGACAGGAAACCGGTCCTGACACAGGGGCCGCCTGGACGGGCCTCGCAGGGATGGGGGTGTCCAGGGTCTGCCTGGGCCCGAAGGGAAACGCTTCAGGCGCATGAACGCAGAGCTGGTCCTACCTGAGCAGGGGCTGAATAGCTGGACCAGGGCGAGGCAGACGCGGAGGGCGCGCAGACGGAGGACCGGGCCCCTCGCCATCGTCACCTGTCATTCGGAGAGAGATGCCCGGAGGGGCTGGGTGGCAATGACGACCTGGAGGAAGGTAGAGAATTCCACGTGGAGACGCCGCCTCCCCAGGGCCGCCCGGGGTGCAAACGCATTCACTGGTGACTTGTGAGCCGGCTCTGCAAGTGTCCGCTGGGGCGTCTCTCCCCCTTGGATCCCACCATGGAATCACTCATGGAACACGGAACGGCAGTGCCCGTACCTCAGCCCTCGCCCTCAGGGGGTCTCGGGCCTCCTGTGTGAACGTGCTCAGCAGCCCCCCACGTACCCGCACTTCCTTGCCGCAGCCGGGCGCGCCCCCAGCATCTCCCCCTGAGCAAAGCCGGCCCTTCATTTCTGCGTCCCGGTCCCACTGCCGCCCCCTGCAGGCCGCGCCCCGCACAGCAGCCAGCACGCCCGGACCCCTCCCTCCCTCCTGCTCAGCCCCTTCCGGGGGCTCCCGTTTCATCCAGAGCAGAAGCCGAAGGACTTTGCACCCTGCACTTTTAAAATTACCTGCATGTTTTAAATTGTAAAAGTGAGGATATATTTCCACATATTTTTAAAGACAGTTACTGTTTTTTATTCCTCATTATGGTAAATTTTAAAAGAAAGCACATAAGGGATAAACTTTAAATAATTTACAATGACAATTATATCCATTATTTCATATGCATGTAAATGTTTCTGGTTTTTTTTAGCCACATATATTCAAAGGGGTGGTGGAGAAAAACAATTGATTTGTAAAAGTTGTGCATTTATTCTCACAGGTTACATTCCGCCCCCTGCACGTTAGCCTCCATTTGACGCCATGCGCCCCGGGACGCGTGTCTCCACGGCTCAGAGCCGTTGCTGAACTCGCCGATTTTGAGGCCTTTTCGTGCTCTGCCGTTTTTGTTTCACCTCTTCCACTTCAGCAACATTTCCCTTGGGGGCCTTTTCAAATCAGGAAATGAAGTAGTAGTCGCCCGAGGGAGGTCTCGTGAGCAGGGAGGGTGGGGCCTGCGGGGTTTTGGGCAAAGCCTGCGGAACACTCAGCGCGGTGCGGGCAGGTGCTTGTAAATCACCCATCATGAAATGGGCAAACAGGTTGAAAAAGTCTTCGGGAAAAGCTCACGGAAGCAGAACACAGCCTCTCGCAACAACGCCAACTGGTGCCCTGACCCGCATGTGTTCCTAGGACACTCACCGCGCAGGGGACTCCTGTCCTACAACGGGCCCGCCCTCCTGAAGATAATTCTGCCTTTTTGGGGGGTCCCCTCTCCTTGATGCCTTCAAATGCCGTGGAAATGCTTTACCCTTAGTGCTACAGATTCCACTGGCAGGAATTACTCTTTACAAAAAACAAGCATTAACACAAAAGTTCATATTTAATGCTGTTCACCATTGTAAAATCTACAATAGCAAAACGTGTAGATGGCATCCAATTTTGCTACAAGTATAAATAAAACTTGTCATTAAAAACATGATTCCTAAACATACAGCTAACAAAGCACTCAGCGGTGAAAAGCTGAACGTGTTTCTGTAGGACCAGGAATGAGAAAAACATGCCCACAATCACCGCTTCTTGGCAAAAGTCCTAGCGACAGCCATCAGACAAGACACAGAAATAAAAGGCATACAAATCAGAAAGAGAGAAGAACTCTCACTATTTGCAGATGACACGATACAATGTGTAGAAAAGTTTGCAGAAACCACCAAAAATACCATTAGGACTCCTAAATGAATTCCGTAAAGGTGCAGGATGCAAAGTCAGAGACCTGCTGCACTTCTCACGGCAATAATGAATATTCGGAAGGAGAAATTTAATCAATCTCTTTTACAATTGTATCAAAAAGCATAAAATACCATGAAATAAATTTAGCCAAAGAGCTGAAAGATCTGCACCCTGACAACAAAGATGAGGAAGAAAGAACACGAGGAGGATACAAATAAACAGCAGGATCCATTGTGCGCCTGGTTTGGAAGGACGGATACTGTTGAAGGATCCTTCCTGCCTAAAGCAATATACACATTCAGGGCTGTCTGTATTCAAACCCCAGTGGCCTTCTTCTCAGACGCAGAACAAGTAGCCCTATGGTGTACCTGGAACCACAAGGGACACCAAGGAGCCAAAAAATATCTTAATGAAGAACAAAGTTAAAGGCATCACACTCCCTGACATCAAAGTACTGGCATAAAAATAGACACATCATTGAATGAGAGAGAAGAGAGAGCCCAGAAATGAACCCTCCCTATACGGTCACTTCACCCGTGACAAAGGAGACAAGAACATACAATAGGGTAAAGAGAGTCTCTTCAAAAGCTGTTGGGAAAGCTGGACAGATATATGCAGAGTCTGCGACTGGGTCAGTTTCTCAAACCACACACAAGAATAAACAGAAAATAGATTAAAGAGTTAAATGTAAAACCTGAAACTATAACCCCGGAAGAAAACATACGCCGTGAACTCCCTGACATCGCTCTTAGCGATGTCTTTTCTGGACCTGTCTCCTCAGGGAGCGGCAACAAAGGAAAAAACGAACAAATGGGACCACAGCGAACTAAAAAGGTTGGCACAGCAGAGGAACCATCAACAAAGGGAAAAGACAACTTAGAGACTGGAAGAAGATATTTGCCAATGACACATTCAACTAGGGGATAATGTCCAAAATGTATAAAGAACTCAGATAATATAACACCAAAAACCCAAACAGTGCGCTTTAAAATTGGGCGGACAAACCGAACAGACATTTCTCCACAGAAACAGCGCAGACGGCCCACAGCCACGCGACTGGAATCCCCGCGGGGCAGACAGTGTGTGGTTGCTCCATTGCCCAACTGATGTGCGTGGAAGTTGGTTTAGATTCTTTTACATTTACAAATAATTCTGTAGCAAAAATCTTTACCTATAAATCTTTAAGACACACACCTTGTCACCCTCCCCACTGTTCTTTTAACACTATCTCTGTAAACAAGGACCTGCCAACTTCTACGTGACTGCAGATAAACAGCCTGTTTGGTTGAGTTAGACACTCACTTCAAAAGGAACTAACCTCAACCTTCAGACATGCAGCTCCCAGAGATGTGCTGACCTTCCACCAGTTACCTGAACAGGCTGTGTTGCCTGCACATTGTCCCCTCAAGCAGAACTCGACACGCTTTGTTCTGTGTCTTTCTTGTGTCTTTGTCCATCGTCCTCCCTCCTTACACAACCCCTGCCCGTGTCCAATGGTTCAGATGGTCTGTGAGCGGAGACCCCATCGTCTCGAGCTGCCGGCCCTTCAATGGACCTGCTTTCCTCCCACCAGTCCCTGTCCTTCGATTATTGGCTTAGGAGCAGCAGGCAGTCTACCCCGGGTTTGGTACCAGCGTCTCTTCTAGAATTCCCTAGAACACGTTCCCGGAGACGAGCAGGAGAGACGGGAAGAGGCCTTGCCCCTCTCTGGCCACAGGAGGTTCCCGGGGACGGGCAGGTGTCGGGCTCCCTGGTTCCCGGTGTCCCTCCCACAGGGGCCCAGGGCAGCCTTCCCTTGCCCTGGCACCGAGCTCTCCCTGGGCCTCACCTGAAAGCTCACGGCCTCCCACTCCTCTGCAGGGGAAGGGGCGCCCTGCAGGTCCCCCAGCTTCTCAGCCTCTCTCTTGGGAGGGCCAGGGCCCTGGCTTTCCCCAGCCCCCTGTAATTAACCTTTGTGCTCTCAACTGAAAATCACGGAGCACAGGTACTCGATGATTCTTTATTATAGGTCAGTCTTTACCTGGAAGACAGGGTGGGGAAGAAGAAAGTGTGCACACCGAGAGAAAGAGGGCAAAGTCTCTCCTTCAAAGTCCTGCTTTCTGATGGAGTCTGATTGTGTGTCTTAATCATTGCCGGGCAGAAACCAGTGGGCAAATGTTGGCTGAATGCAGACGCCATGTTGGAAGGAGCAGTGCAGGCCACCCCCAGCCCTGACCCGCGCTCTGCATCTCTCTGCCCGGCCACCTGCTGAACCGCTCCTGGGCGTGGGGGTACGTGATCAGCATCTCACTACACACGCCTGCTTTACGTCCCGTATATGACACTGGGTTTAGCAGTTGAACTAAACAAATTAACAAATGGCAGTGTGAGGAGAGGACAGTGGGCAGCCGTTAAATGGTCACTGTGGCCGTTCGCTAACGTCTTTGGCCGCAGAGCCCAGCGAGGGCCTGACGGGGAGAAAGCAGGCCCACGCCCCCTTTCTTGGCTCCCGTGGCGTCCAGGACTCAGAATCACTCCTAATGCCACAGTTTTCCAGTCCCCACAGGCGGTGCTGTCAGGGGCCGACGGGCAGGCCCTCTGAGAAGAGACGGTTGATTTGGGGGCTGCCGAGAAGGCCCATCATCCCCTGCGCCTCCTCTGAGCCGCGTCTGGATTCTCAGGGGGAATCACTTCTCTCCTGCGGGATCTGTGTTCTCTGAGGTCAGACAGGACAGGCTGCAAATGTATTTGTTAGGGGACTTTCAGACAAGCAGGGTCTACCTATGTCCTGGGGCCTCCAAAGACACTTTATTTGGTTTCAAGGCTGCGAGTTTAGCCCCCAGGGCTGGGTGTGGCCGTGGCTGTTGCAATGTGACTGCAGGACAAGGTCTGAAGGTAGGTCTGGGGTGGGGATGGCTGCTCCCTTGTGCCTTGACCCCTGCCGCTTCCTCATAAACAAACCCAGTCTTCAGGAGACCGACCCTGCACTGTGCCCATCCCCCTATTGTCGGGAGGGGCTGAGGGAAGGAGTATGAGCTGATGGTTTGCAGGTGGAAGGAGCTGGTTACGGATCTCCAGGGAGACCCCCACTCTGGGAAGCAGTCCAGCCTCGTCGGCAGCCCCCTGGTTACTGACACACAGAGGCAGCCCCGTTTCCGCCCCAGATGTGAGCCTCCGTGATCTGCGCAGGGTCTCTGGGCAGAAGGTTTCTCGTCTCTTTAGAGCCTTCGAGCACCTAGGGTCCTAGGTGCCCTTCTCACCCAGGTCTGCACGTGACTCTGGGAGGCGAGCGCGTGTG